GAAGAGGGCAAGGCTGCGGTGCAGGAGTAGGCCAAACTGCCGAGGGGTTAGAAGACTTGGCCAACTGCTTCACCCTGCGGTGTCCCAGGCGCCTCCCCGCCTAGGCTTTGGCTATAGGCCGGGGTCGGCGGATTCCTTTAGAGCTTTTTTCATTTGTGACTCGGAACAAGACGCTACTAGGGACTCCTGGCATCGCTACTAGGAGCAAGGACGCTACTAGGGGCTCCTGGCGGAAGAGCCAAACAGTCTTTCGCAAGATCAGATGCGATGAGCTTTGCTTAGCCTGATCTGTGTCAGGCACTTGTACTCTGCGGGCGTCTTCGATTATTGCGACCAGGACGGGGCAGATCTTCCGTGTCGATCCAGATGTCTCGTTTCCTATCCTATCTCAAGCCTTTTGCTCTCCTGTTTTACTTCCTGTCTCATTTTCCTCTATGGAAAGCCCGGGGACTATGGAAGGAAATGAAGAAGCCTTTGCTACATGAGATGCAGAATGCAGAAGGAACTGAACGAACCTCAAAGTCGGAGCTAGTGGGCAGGATGCGGTCATTGACCATGCGGTGACATTGATCGGATTTGGCCGCGACCCGAATCTCAGCATCAAAAGCCGAAGAAAGAGCAAGGAAAGGAGCGCAACTAGGAAAAGGAACAGGAATAGTTTATTGTTTTTCAATATTCAATATTCGTTTAGTTTAGTTTACTTCAACAACATTGTGCCTCAAGCCTCTCTTTCGGTTCCTGATACCCAAGATGCGGACCATTTTCGCTAAGAGAACTGAAGAAGAGTTCTGAGAAGTTCTGGCTCATCCAGAACTCGTGGGGCCATCACTGGGGCGAGGCGGGTCAGAGCCTAAAGACTGGGAAGTTGGGAAGCTTTCGGAAGACTTTTCCTAACCAAATAGCGATGGCCTCCAAAGCACTTTTGGCCTTCAAAGGGAAGAGTTATATTTAGATGAATATTTAGCAGTTTAGCATTTTTGGCCTCCTGGCATCACTACTAGGAGCAAGGACGCTACTAGGGGCTCCTGGCATCGCTACGAGGACCAAGGACGCTACGAACGGGGCTCTTTCGCATCTCATATCGCTGTAGCTTTAGTCGCTTTTAGTAACAAGAAGCTAGTAGTAACAGGTGCCACGCTAGTAGTAACAGGTGCCTCACTAGTAGTAACAAGAAGCTAGTAGTATCCCAAAGCAAACCACCCCTTCTCGCTTCCGCAGGGCGGCCGAATTCGGCTGTTGCGGGAGGAAGACGAGAGCAGGTGTGGTTGGGATCGACAACCAGAGAAAGGAGCCTCGGCCATCCTTGGCAGAAGGAATACCAGGTGGCATCCCTTGATTTTCTTCAAGCAGGTGTAAGGGGGTGGTGATTTTGCTATCATTTGTTGTTGCAGTAGTAGTAGTAGTAGGAGGAGGAGGAGGAGCAGCAGTAGTAGTAGTAGTTGTTGCTGTAGTTGTAGTTGGAGTTGTAGTTGTAGTTGTAAGTAGGAGGAGTAGGAGGAGGAGGAGTAGCAGCAGCAGGAGTAGTAGTAGTAGCAGTAGTAGTAGCAGTAGTTGTAGTTGTAGTTTGTAGTGGTGGTCGTCGTCGTTATTGAAGAAGAGGAGGAGCAAAACAAGTAAAAAATGCATTGTTCCAAAAACAACACTTGTCTGAAATGGCTTTACTGTGCTGAGGAACGGCTTGCAAAGGAGATCCTGCTCAGGTACGAGTTTGTGGCCTCTCGTCATTGATTTTGGACCCTATAAAGACCAAAGGTCTATTTGCCCCCTGTATTCAATAAGAAGGACGGTCTTGATTGTCGTGCTTTTTTTTCTTCTCCATTTTTGAACATAGTGAAACAAGAGTTCTCACGCATTGGCTGAGGCATGTGCGGCATTCTCTATGATAGTGTAGTGCCTCATTTCGCTTGAGACACATGTCGCCTGAGATGGTCAATTTGGATTTTGGGCTTATAAGTTCTAGATCGCACAAAATGCTGAAAGGAGCAAATGACTTGACCCAAATAGAGGCCAAACTGTCCATAGCCGTGCTCCTTGAGTACACCCGAATGGGTTTCGAAGCAAGAGAATGTGCACAGCCCGGAATCGAAAATGGATGAAACATGTGGGGACGGCACTGGACGAACTCATGGGACCCTCATAGGGCGCATGGGACATGTTTCTATTTTGTTCCAAAAGGCGAAGAGGTGGTGCTCCGTTCGTAGCGATGCCAGGAGCCCCGTTCGTAGCGTCCTTGTTCCTAGTAGCGTTGCCCTTTGCTTCTAGTAGCGATATGCGTACAGTGCTTTTTGAATGCGAACAACACATGTTTTCTCTCACGGTTTCTCACTGAATTTGCAGGTGGCCGCCACCAAGGCTGCGCGAGACTCAAATGTCTCAGCGAGACTGGGACGAGACACACGAGACCAGGACTAGGTCGACAAGTCTCTATCGGAGGGGTTTTTGAAAGGATAATGGACCAACGGTAGTGTTTTTTGTCGATTTGAACTTGAGAAAGGCGAGAAAGGCTGACTGACAGAGAGAGAGACAGAGAGAGACAGAGAGAGAGAGAGAGAGGGGGGGGGGGGGAGAGGCCAGTCTTGTCAAGAGAGCTTAGTTGAGCCAGCTGGCGTTGCCACGAGGTTGAATCTGAGTCTGCCATGTCACGTGGCGGCAGTGTTTGATTCTCTTTTTCGGTGGAGAGTCTTTGATCAAAGGGAACTTTTGAGAAAACACACTGGCGCACTTGGTTGACTGGTTTCAAGATTGGATGTGATTGAATCAGATCCAAAAGAGATCAGGAGATCATGAGCTGACCTCTTGAGCAGTGCTCAAGCACATTTAAGCACCACTGTGGCACCACTGTGCACTTCCCAGGTGTCAAGAGCTAGAAAACAAGATGCAGGATCAGAAGGTGTGCGGATGCGAAGTGGGATGGGCAGAAGTGGGTCACCGGATGTTGTGTGACAAGAACATGTATTTCCTTCGTCGAATGAAAAGGTGGATACACGGAAGGTCTAAGGTAAAGGTCCAAGAACATGAGAAAGGAAACCAAGAAAGACACACAAGAGAAAGATAAGAAGAACATAGAGAAGAAGCACACGAGTCCTTTTTTTTGCACCACTTTTTGTTTGAAAGGCTTGTAGGAGTGGACCGTCACAGAGGCGGCCTCAAAATTCAGGCAGGTCTCTTCGGAGAGCACTGATCCAACTCCAAGTCTCCACTCGACCTGGGCAAGACCATTTTGCTCCGTTCGTAGCGATGCCCTTTGCTCCTAGTAGCTTTTTGTTCCTAGTAGCGATGCCAGGAGCCCCTAGTAGCGCCCTTGCTCCTAGTACAAATGCCCTTTGTTACTAGTAGCGTACGCACTACGGTCTTGCCGCTTGATCACCAGTATTTGCATGCAAACTGCTGTGGTTTGCAGCCATCGATTTCATCCAAGCGCCAAAAAAACATGTCCAAAGATGTCCAATGCATGCTTTGGCATTCAGAGAACATCCACAACTAATGAATCATCAGACTTAGACGGACAGTGACAGAAAGCTTTAGATAGTCCAGTGGGCCCCGTCATCCCTCACAAGTCTCTACAAGAGGATCCCAAATCATTGGTCCTTTATTCTGAATTTTCCTTGATACTAGTAGCTTCTTGTTCCTAGTAATAAGGCCAGGAGCGCCCCGTTCGTAGCGTCCTTGCTCCGTTCGTAGCGAGGCCCTATGTTACTAGTAGCGAACCTTGTTGTGCCGTCATTTGTGCCTACACTGTGACCACCGGTGTGAGATCGGATGGGAGATCGGCCAAGCAACCGCCATGCTGAACTACCTTTGTCGAAGCTGTGGGCTGCTGGGCTTTGGTCTGAACAACGACCAGAAGCGCTTGGTTCTTTGCATTGCAGCTGAATCACCCGACTCGGATGACGATGAAGAGACCTCCCCGCCACCTACGGGGTTCTGGGCGAACGTTTCTTCCTTCGCGTCTACCTTCGTGGGGGGCTCCGACAAAGGACAAAGTGGAAATACATGGGCAGTCTGTACAAGATTCCATAGGAACAAATGCATCGCTACTAGGAGCAAGGGCCTTACTAGTAGTAACAAGTGCCTTACTAGTAGTAACAAGTGCCTTACTAGTAGTAACAAGAAGCTATTAAATTAACCAAGTTGCTTGTCAGGAGGTCTCTGCACGCAGTCGCTCCTTGCGGTGCTGAGAGCGGGCGATTGGCGCTCCGTGGACGCAGGAGATCTGCACCGCAAAATGGGCAGCCTTCTGAATCGTCAGAGTCGGCGAGCGGGCGTTCCTGGGATTTGATTCAGGCGTGCATTTTTCTCTAGCCTGGCGGGGGTGGAGGTAGGCGGCAAGAGTCAGAAGTGAAGGGTAAGTAGCTACTAAGCTTAGGAAGCTACTAGGGTGGAGGCCATTGCTACTAGGGTGCTAGGGTGGAGGGCATTGCTAATAGGTTGGAGGCCATCGCTGCCATCGCTACTAAGTTAAAACACCTACGACCTAGGACGCAGGAAGCCTGAGCCTCAATGATGTGTTTCCTATTGGTACCTTTGGTGTTTTCTGCGTTTGAAGTGCATATTCTGGTGTTTTCCCCTCTCAGGTTTTTGTGTGGCTCCAAGGTCATGGTGCGTTCGTCAGTTAATTTGCAAGGCCGGAATTTGGGCTCGATATGGAGGAGTGAGGACGAAGATCGGCGGCGGGCATTGCTGGTAGGGTTCTGCTACAGCGCTGATCTTCAACTGAGTGGATCTTGGAATGATGTTGCCGACATGCAAAGCTGGTCTTTTGCCAATAAAGAGACGACTTTTTCAGGTGGGGCCCAGTGAAGTAGAATGATGTAGATATGGTTGGTTTCTGCGAATTCTGTTCCAGTATTGGGCTTTAAAGCTAGTCCAAGACCTGCTTAAGATGCGTCTCAAAAAGTTCCTTCTAGAGGCCTTTTCCCTTGTGTTCTGACGAAGTGAGTGACAAAGCCCATCTTACACCCGAACCTGGGTCCAAGCTTCTTTAAGCTGAGCTGACTAAGGCTTCAGTCCGAAGGCCTTTTTAGCTCTTCCGAGATCCGTGTTGTCACTGATCGGGGGAACGATGAGAAGCTGACCCGAGAGAAGATCTTGGAGCACCTCCAGTGGCTGCTCCAAGGAGAGTTTGTAGACCTGTAGCATATGTTAGGTTGGAGGCCATTGCTAGTATGTTGGAGCCCATCGCTCTTAGGTTGGAGGCCATCGCTCTGAGGTTGGAGGCCATTGCTATATGTTTGCTAGGACTCCCACAACTTAGTGTATATAGAAGGCTACATGGAGGGTGTGAGTGAAGAAGTACCTTCTTGGCAGGCTTGTGCATCTTAATGATGCCTGAGTCGATGACCCTTCTAAGGTGTAAAACTAGCAGCGTCCTTGATCCTAGTAGAAAGGCCCTTTGTGAATTTGAGGTAGGATCTCATTCTGTTGAGCCAGGTTGTCACACTATGTTGTGTCTGCCGCCGTTTGGCTCCTAGGGCCCTTGAGCTATACCGTGCTCGCTTTCGCAGTGAAAAGAGCGTGTGGACAGTACGATTCCGGTTGCTACCGACATTGGTAGCGGAGCAGGTGACGGCCTGACTCGGCACGTACTGATCCAGGTCATTGGAATCGTAGAACACCAAGCCTGAGCTTGCATTCCTTGCGTGCTTTCGCTTGCCTCCTCTGATCCCGTTGGGGACAGAGCCCGGAATAGATTGCTCGCCCGAGCAATCTCCGTCGGAATCGTCGAACATGTCCATTGCTGGACTCAAGTTCCATTCGGGTAGCACTGGTGATAGAATAGGCAACCCCCTGGAAACTAAGAGTGGGTCTTACATCTATTGGGGAGATCCTGCATCATTTCATGATTGGAAATTTCGAACCGAACTCCGCATCAAGCTGTACGACCAAGCCCAAACGCAACCAGCAAAGAAGCAGGATCCCGTGACTGGACCTGCCGACGAAGGGGAGCCTTGGCCACCAGAGTCAGACGAAGGATTCGCATTCCCTTCGCCTGGACACTATCCCGAGGAGTTTGAGCCCGAGCCGCGTGAGACTGCCGGTACTCCCAAGTCGAAGGTTGATGCAACATCACCGAAGGCTTCGTCCGTTAAGTCAGACAAGTCGAGTATCATCGATCGCAGTGTCCTAGTGAACAAGATCGTAGAAGGTTTGAGAGGTGATGCCTTTTTGCTTGCCAGAGACTTAGGTCTAGAGACACTTGCACGTCCAGGGGGACTGGAGCGTCTCATCGAGGTGATACGTAACCATGTGTTTCCTCGAGCCTTGGAGGAGAGTAAGGAGCTTTTTCGCGCAGGACAGAAACATGGAGGACCACTGTCGAGACAGCCTACAGAGAGCATGTTGTCGTACACTCAACGTCGACGACGTTGGTGGACCTTGTTGGTTGAGCTTGACCCCACAATGATGATCTCAGAAGCTTTCCGCACAGAGCTATTGCTGGAGATGTCAGGTATTTCCAGGCAGGAGATCCTCGTGGTGAAGGCTTGTCGCAAGAACGATGACTTCGAAGGTACTGCACGAGTCCTGGTTGACAACTACAGTGGAATCCATCTTCGTGAAGGGTCCCGATCCTGGACAGGACGGGGAATTCAGCCTCAGGTAGGCAAAGGCAAGGGGTACCAGAAGGGGTACCAAGGTAAAGGTAAAGGTAGCCAATACTCTCGTGCTGGTTACAATGCCATCTATCCCGATTGGGAAGACAATTTCGATTGGAGAGATGAGGACTTGCAGGAGCATCATCATGAAGAAGATTCTTTCGTAGGCATGCTAGGAGGGATTGAAGAGTCTGAAGAACATGAACATGCTAGCCATCCTGAGTACGAAGATTTTGAGTACCATGATGATGTTGATGAATATGAAGCAATTGCCTTGAATGCAGTAGTTGACTGCGAAGATGCCGAAGAACGTTCCTCAGGTGATGCTATCCAATTGCAGCTTGCCGCATTCGTCGCTTTCGGGAAGACAAAAGGCAAAGGCAAGGATAAATTCAAGGGGAAAGGTAAAGGCAAAGGTAAGATAGTGAAGTCTCACCTTAGCATTGAGCAACGTCGACAGAAACTGTCCGAGATCAAGGCGAAATCCAAGTGTCTTCGTTGTGGTGGTTTAGGTCACTGGGCCGGAGACCCCCAATGTAAGATGCCAAATGCCCCGAAGACTGGATCAGCCCCGAAACCTGCTGCACACATTGCCCACATGAGCGATTCATCCGAGGACGAGGGGATTTTTCTAGGTGCGGCGTCTCCAACCGACAGCGTTGCTCACATGGCCGTGAAGGCCAGCTCAGGAGTTCGTCCGGAGGCACCAGTGAGTCCCAACGACCTCGTAAGGCCTGAAGGGAGCGATAGGAAGTTCTTAGCTGGACAGTTCAGGGGGAAGACATTTTGGCAGATCCTTCATGAACATCCTGACTACCATCAATGGGCCATCAAGAATGGCAAGAGTCCAATCGCTTCGGCTTTCGTCACGTGGGTTGATCAGCATTTTGAATATAGGGGAGCTTCAGTTTTCAGGAAGGTTGGTGGTGCTTCTTCTTCATCGTCATTGCAGCCAATCCCAAAAGGGTCCTCAAGGAAGAAACCACCATATCCACCAAAAGAGAAATGCAAGAATTGTTCCGAATTCACCAAACAAGGGAGCACAGCATACACCATCAAGAAGACATGCCTTGTCTGTGGGAACTCCACCACCGAGCGTAGAGAGCAAGCCCCGAAGTTTGCATATGACGATTGCCCGCGCTCGGACACCGATTTTCGAGGTTCTTCCAGGTCTGTTCACCGTGTGTATTGCAAGCTTTGTTGTTCGTTTTTGGATGAGACTCCGATGGAGCTCCAAAAGACTAGGAAGGCAGCCTCTGAGAAAGTCGTCAACGCACCGCTCGATAGGATCCCAATGATTGAACGTTTGGTTGAAGAGGAACCCGAAGAAGGACACACCCCCGAGATGCTAGAGAAGATTTTGACTGAATTTGCCGCCCAAGTCGCGTTGGCAGCCGAAACCGAGGCCGTGACTTCGATCAAGTTGCACGAGCTCCTCCACCAGTCCATCGAAGAGAGCAAAGGAGACTCGTTCACCATGGTTGATTACACCGAAGATGACCCATTTGCAGGGATCGGCATTTGTTTTCATGGGGAGGAACCTACCCAGATGACAGATGGTTTGGTGCACATATTTCACGAAGCCAGGGACATGTACAGCCCAGACGACGGGAACATCTACGTCGTTCTCGACGAGGGATGTAATTCCACCTGCCATTCGAAGCACTGGGGAGACGTTGTTGAGGCCAAGTTGAAGAAGCTAGGATACGACTTTCCTTTTTCGGCCACGACATCGAAGAACTTTGCCGGATTAGGTGAAAAAGGGACCACTACAGAAGGATCCCGCACGTTACCCTTTTCGTTGCACTTCGACGAGGGAGATCCAGTGCATGGTGTCCTTGAATCCCACCAGCTGTCAAAAGGTCGATCTCCGCTGCTTTTGTCTCTCCATGCACAGGCACACTTGGGACTAGTAAAGGACCTCAAGAATGGTATCATTAGCATCAATGGAAAACGCCTCAAGGTGTTCAGATGCATACACACCGGTTTGATGATGTTGGCAATTACCCCTCAACAATTGGTCCAAAGTCTCGAAGCCACCATGCCCCAAAAGATTCCAAAGTGTCATCGCAAATTTCGTGTCGCCCTCACAGCCTTCAATACTCCGATGGAGAGATTGGATACGGCAGAGCGAGGGTACCAAGCCCAGACTGCCGAAGGTATCCATCGTGCGCTTGGCAACATCATTGGCAATTTGAAGAGCCGTGAGTTTTTGCTGGTCACAGGAGGTGACCGGTTTGAAGACAGGTTGTCAGAGCATGTTGGCAGTGATATCCCCGTGAAGTACATCAACGCCAAGTCGCTGTGGGATCCCGACCAAGATCCTTCGTTGCGTGGACACGTGGGAAGGCATCCGGCCATTTTGAATGGTCTTAGGAGGGATCAAAGCGGTCTTGACCGCATCTTTCGTGAGGTGGACGACTTTGTGGAGCACCATGACAAGGGTGTTTTGGATGTGCGCTGCAAGTCAGGGCGCCATCGTTCTGTGGGCGGAAGCATGTTGATCCACAGGCATCTTGCTTCGAAAGGCTTCACGTGTGTTGTGATTCATTCTCACTCGCCTGAATGGCGTGAGATGTCGTGTGGAGGACGTTGCACTCTTTGTGGACCGCTTTATGGCGATACAACTGTGACATTGACTCCTGCACATACAAAGAATGTTCACACCCCAAGAGCTGTTCGAGGTGATGCGGACGACCACGTGCCGTGGCGATCCAGTGAGCGTTCAACAGCACCACCACCGTCGCGAGAAGAGGCTATTCGCAGCACCAGTGCAAAGGCCCGCTCACTTCCACCAAAAGCCTGCCCTCCAGTACTTTCGAGGCCATCTTGCTCTTCACGACCGCCGAAGGCGAGTGACGCCGTGGCATCTCGAAAGAGCAAACCTATGCCGAGCGCTGCCGTGACCTCGCCTGTGAGGCCGGTTCCGGATTTTGATGATGATGACAGCCATGATGACGACATCAAGTTGGAAGAACAAGAGGTTGGAGAAGAGATAGAAGAGGTTGAGGTTGAAGAGCCAGAGATTCCAGCGGAAGAGACTTCGGGCGGAAGCCAAGAGATTTTGCAAGCCCTCAAGAGGTTGACAGATGCCGTGACGTCGCTTGCAAATCGCAATCCACGGTCCCGAAGCCCATTGAGGAGGAGGAAGTCAGCTGGTACATCAGAACCCAACCAGAGGCCAACTAGGTCTAGGAGTCCGGTCCGTCCGACCAGATCAACAGTGAAGACAGCTCCTACGACGCCGAAGACTCCACCACCTCCGCCGAAGCCTGTGAGTCCGCGCACTCCTGATCATCCACCACCACCAAATCGTCCGCCGCCCCAGCTCTTGTCCAAGTCCAGGTACGATGAAGACCAACGTCCAGTTTTGGAAGATGAGTTGTGGGTCCTTTTGACCAATGATGGGGTGCCGAAGGTTGACCAGGTGGATCCTGAACTTCTCCATGTTCTGGCCGGCGCAGCTAGGGATTGGGGAAACCGTGACCGCACTTTGTGGCTTGTGAATCGCAATCTGCCAGCC